ATATAGTTTCAACAGCAGATTGAATTTTGTATAGCATTTCTGCTAATGTCTTACAAAATCTGTCTACGATTACAAGACCTCGATGAGAATACAGGCCTATAACTCAGATTATAATATTATATGCCTCTATTATTTTTGAAGTCTCACCTATCTATTCACGCCCACTATCACATTGTAATAAATCAGGTCAAATAAGGGGGATATTCGAATTATCATATATTTTCTTAAATGCTTTAGTAACTTCTAAACTGTTTTTCGATGTCAATGGAACAGCCTATTTAAAACGGGATACAATATCTATAATAGTAAGTACCTATTTGTATATCTTTTTATTGATAGTATCATTTGTGAAGCGTAACAAATCACACATATATACGCAGTTTGGATGTAAAATTTTTCCATAACTAACCCATGGAGTATCTTTTGGTGATGGAGCATATTTTTGCCATTCATTCTGGTTTGTAAGCCACTTACATACCTTTTTATATGGAAACTGATACCCCTCTGCTTTAAGATCTTTCCATAATTTTTAGGGGTTGGAATGATATCCTGTTGGTTGATAGAATAATAATCAGCAAACTAGAGCCAATTCCTCATCAGTACTAATTATAATACTAGATTAGTTCATTTTTGATACATTTTACTATATTAATAAATTATTATTTGGTAAAGTTTCCAGAAGCGTCAATATATTATAGGCTTGTACAATACCATCGGATACAATAGTGTCTCTATCTAGTGAAACAATTAAAAAATTCGAAGCTAGTTTGCAGATAATAAAAAATTGATTCTGTAAATTACAATAGAATCTAGACTTAAAAGAGAGTTACATCAAATATCTCAAAAATGAAATTTTGATTTGAGATGGAGAACTAGATCTATTACGACAGAAAATTTCTGATATTAAAGAACGGTTGGAAAAAATACTTTGAGATTCTGAAAGCCAAGAGAATTATATAGACTATTTGGAAAAGCAGTTAGTAATTTTTCAAGATGAAATAGACAAGCTTAATGAAAAAATAAAAATACTTATTTTATATAAAAATGGTAATGATAATATAGATATGGCACAACCAGGATGACCCTAATTATCTTTGCCTGAAAACCAAGTTACGATTCAGAATCATAGAATTCAGTGAGAGGTTGATAATATTAGATGGTATTTTCAAAGCCCAACTACAATAACACCTACAATAAATGGCATTGTAGATTATCTTAATATAATTTCTAATGCTAGAAATAGGCTTGAAAGAATAGTACTAGAAATATATCCATGAGCTAATGCACATGCAATCAATGCAAAAAATCGAGTAGCAGATTTGCAAATCTAGCTAACAAATTTGCAAACCCAGATAGCTAATTCGCAAACCCAGTTAGCCAAGCTTCAAAATGATTATGATCTTCTTTATCAAGCTTATAGAGCTCACAAACTTAATTATCACTTATTAAAAGCAACTTGTATAGAAAAAAATAAGTGTATATCAGAGCTACTCCAAGAAAAATTTGTATCACACCTTTTAAATAGACAATTTCAGATTCAAGCCCAGCAAAATAGCTAGCAACTACAAGATTGTAAGACAAATGGGGCAATTACTACACATCTCTTAAATCTTACAACAAATCGATACAATAAGTGGAAAAATAAATGCAAGACTCTAGAAAATGATCTATTACTTGCTGATGTTCAATTGGACAACAAGTGGAGTAAGTAGAAAACTCGAGCACAAAATTCTGAACAATTAATTAATAATTTAAATCAACAAATTTTAGCACTACAATATAATCTACCAAATATGGTGACAGTTGCAGGAAACTTAACTAGCATTGCACTATTAATTGCACAGATTCCAAATTATAGTGAACAGATTCTACCAGATGAATGGTATCAAAGAATTAATCAAATATTAACTTTACCATTAATTACAGCAGGCGCCTTTAATAATGCACTTCGAGCAGATATTTTAAAAAGTAAGATAGCTAGAAAATATACAAATATACCCACACAATACTCTGTAGGTACAAATATTGATACTCTAGCTCATTTTATTGTTTGGTTGCATCATAAATATCAAACAGAGACAGTTGGAATATAACAAGTTGCTACTCAAAGATTAGCACAAGAAAAATTCTTACCATTTGATAATCAAGAATCATATAAGGCTAGAATCTGTCTTCTTTTATTAGGGGTTGCTGATAGTGATGCCAATATCTTAGGACTTCTTAAAGGTCATTTATCAGAAGAGCTTTATACTTGGATAAAAATCACTAACCCTGGTGGTATTGATGCATTTTTTACAGAATTTAAAAATATGTGCTTAGAACATCCTCTAAATTTGTATAAAAGCTCCATTCCTGACTAAATCTCTCAAACTTCAGCTGTTAATATACAAAATAAATCACATTCCAATAGTAGTGGTATATCTCGAGCTGAACTAGATAGTATGATAAAATTACAATTAGCTTTAGTACTAACTACTTCTATTTAGTCTTCACAGCTCCAGAAAATACAAGCATTACAGTCTCAGCAAAAGCAACTCGATTTCAGTAACTACCTTAGAGTACCAGATAAATATATACTAGAAAGACCACCAGATGGGTATGGCATAAATTCTAAAAAATTTATTCATTGTGATCTTATAAACCCAACTCCTTCAGCTAGCCAAATTATAGAATCTTTAGCTAATGATCTTTATAAAAAAGTGTCAGATATGTTTTCAGCAAAGCCAGTACAATCAAAGAAAAATATTGAAGTCAACTCTGATGAAGAACTAGCTGATCGTATAGGTAAGTTATCAATAAATAAGGCTTTGTCAGAAGGTTTTGAGGCAGGAGTTTATGCTGTTATTAAATCATCAAAACATCGTTATTCAAATTGTAATAGAACTGGACACAATTCTCATAAATGTTCTAGAAAGAAATCTAAGAATTCCAAGAGATCTAGCAAAAATAAAAAAGGTAAGATTAATATAGCTATCAATAATTCTGGTTCTGATTCAGATTCTAACTCTTCTGATAATAATTCTGATTCTGGGTCTAATTCCGATAATACCTCCTCTGAATCTGAGTCTAAAAGTGATGTCAAAGTTCATATTACCAAGCCAAAAAAAAAGTAAATCAGAAGAGTAATTTAAATAAATCATCTTCTGAAAAGAAGTCCAAATCATGTAAAGCAAAAAAAGATATATCTACTCCAGATAAGTCTCGAAATAAATCAACTCGTCTTGAACAGGATATTCAACGAATTTTACTGAAAATGTTTGAAAAGGTTTTATTCCCACATCAGTTAGAGAAACTTAAATCTGAGAACAAAAACTTAACCAATTCAGATTTTACGAATTATAGAGAACTAGCCTCAGAAATACCTGAGTCAGAGTAAGAAGAAACTTTAGATGATCCTATGGAAATAGACTTTGTTAAAAAGAAGGAACCTATAACAAGTATTGTAACTATACCAGTTAAAATCAAACGTTTAAAAATTCCAGCAATAGTCCTTGATAGTAGGGCTGAGCTTCCAATTATATCAGAAGATATTGTCAAATGAGTAGGTTAAAAAATTGATAAATTGGTAAAGTATGATCTTAGTGGTGTTGCTACTGTATCAACAGAATCTATTGATGTCGCTCATAATTTCCCAATAACATTACCTCCAGGTTTTACTATAGATGAAGATTTTGCAATTGTACAAGTTCCTAAACTAACATTAATATTTTCGAATCTACTTCTTAAGAAATATAAATGTGCTGTAGACTGAAGTAATAATAAAATAAAGATTCATTATAATGGAGAAGATTTTATTATTCCAGTAATTATACATAAGGTCAAAAATAAGCTCGAAGTGAACTGTGTAACCACATCTCAGTATGATAAGCCTTTGATATCTGATCAAATTTCTCAGGAAGTTGATAGTGATGAGGATGACAATATATCATTAGAAGAGTGGTGTGCTTCTGCAGATTTTAGCTTAGATTTTGTTAATTTAACTTTAGCAAAGCAAGCACCAAAAGTGCTAAAAAAAAATGCATGAGTTATGATGAGTTAGAAAAATCACTATATACTACTCTTAAGTTTAAAGCTGAAATAAATGATCTTTGTAAAAAGTTGCAAATGCGTTATGAAAAGCTACTTGAACATATCTCTACCAGAGATAATATTATAGATTAAGTAGTAGCTAATAGGCGAGTCATATTTGCTTTATTTTTCTTATCTCTTCTGGCTTCTTTTTCATATAATACACTCAGATCTTCACTACTTATTTTTTCTGTAGAGTTATTAGTAGATATTGAATCAGATATGTGAGAGCAGAGCTCATTATTACATAATACAGTTTTAGACTGAGATTTGGAACTTCTCTTTTTTATTTCAGTATTAAGGGGAGTAGTAGATTTTGGATATAAAGTCTCTCTTCTGATTTGGTTAAAATTTTTAGATAAAGTTAATGGGACTAATGTAGAAATGGTACTTTGTATTATTTGTTGCTGGCGTTCTTGATCTTCTCATATATTATTTACTCGATGTTCATTAATATGGAATTCTCTCATAATTTTATATTTAGGAACCTTATCTTTGAGTGATCTAATTGTTTCTATCTACTCAGAAGTTAGATATGTAGATTTTTGGCGATAATATGATTTTAGAAATGGCATGTTCATAGTTTGATTTTTTATCAAATATTTAGAATGATATTTAATATTTTAGAATAATAAAAAATGATATCTATTATTATGAAACAATAAAAAATAATATATATTATTATAGATGAATAAGAAATATTAGCATAAGCAAGTCTTTGGCTAATAAAAAGACTATAAAAATAATTATTATATAACCTAATTCAATAATATCTAATATATTTTTTTAATAGATTAGAATATCTAATATTAAACATCGTTAGATAATAATAGAAATTATTAATAAAATTAGTTTTATTAATAATTGTATTATCTATTATTTAGTGAAGCAAGCTAATATAGCTAATATATATACATTTCAAAATATTAAAGGTCATCGACTTGGTAGTATACGTGAAGAAGAGCTAGAAAAAAAAATACACAATGCTATCAAATCCAAAGCTGAAATTAACAAGCTTAGAGAAAAATTACAGAATAAATACATAAAACAAATAAAAGCTTTTGATCAGGAAAGAAAGGGGTAGAATCGGGATTCATTACAAAATAATACTGAGATCCAAAAATTACGCACCCATACTTTGCAAGTCATTAATGAACATAAGCAACTACAAAATGAAAATACTAATCTTATTTCTCATAACACACAAAAGGATATTTTTATTGCTGAATCTAAGGCTGAGAATATTACGAAATCTAAGAAAATTAAATCACTTAAGTTTATGATCAAGATATTAGAAAGTAAGTTGTCTTCAGCCTAGAAAGATGTGATTTCGATTCAAAGCGACTCATCGAAAAAAGAATTCGAGATTTTATCTCTTAAGTCTAAAATAGTTGAAGTAGAACATGAGTTAGCTTCGAAAGTTAGTGAACTTGATTGTCTGAAATCAGTGGCTATATCAAACCCTATACTTGGTGGAAATGATGAAAAAAATATGACCAAGTCTGATGATATATCTGCAGTTATTGAACCTAGCAAAAATCTCAGACAATATTTTGTATGCAGAAAAATTATGGATCAAGCTAAAAAAATCGATAATGATATCTCAGCACAAACTAGCACTTTTGGTACTTGCTTCGTTAATGATGAGATTACCAAACTACCAAAAATTGATACAGAGGTTAATTCCGAAGTAAAGGATAGAACTAGCATTAGTGAAATTAACAAGGATGATATACTAGATATATTGATAAAACCCAATACATCACAGATTATATCTGAAAATATAACTCCACACCTTATACAACTGGATAATAATATATCTGCTTTAATTGAATTGAATTCTCAGATAAGGCCTGGTCCTGAGACTTTGCCTCTTCCTGCTGTAGCAAGCACTTTAATGTCACCGCTATTGGCATATATTTTTCTTGCTCTATTAATTATTGTGGTTATGTGATTCGTAGTGTTGAGATGTGAATTGAGTATAAGTAAAAAAAATAATTGGTTACAGGATACGTGAACTAGGTATTAGGAACTATCTATTTAAACTTCGATATTATTTATGTACAAAAAATATATATGATGGTAATATAAAGATATATTTATAGTGAGCTAACTGCCTTGTTCCATGTATTTAGAAAACTCTCAAGTGTTAGTTGATCTGTTTTCGATATATGAGATAAAGTAGGTTGTTCAGTAATCATTTCATTTTTTCTCATAGTCCTGAGTTAGCCAATTTTATCTAGGATTGTTATATGCTCTTTATATCGCATATGATATACTAACTTATGAAAGAAAACATCATATTTTTTGATAATTGGGATAAGTACATTTAGATGTTTCGTAAAATCAGAACATATGGACTTTTTTATCTCTTCACCTATCAAAAAATTATCATTTTCAGTATATGCTTTGACATACTCTATAAATTTTTCTCATAATCTCGAAACAGGGTCACTTACCTTAAAGTCTTCAAAGTTTAGCCATTCTCCATAAAATATCTCGTAGGTATTACCTATATTCTGATGTAATATAGCTTGTGCAGTCTTGACTGCCTTTTTATAGGCATGTTTATAGGCATACCCATGATTAGCTATTATTTTAGAATCTATTCTATTTTTCTCCTTAATATATGACTCAAGCCACTTCTTAGCCTTATTTTGGGCATAGATATCAATTTGTTTATACTTCTCATCGAAATCCGTAAGTTGTATAATTTTATCAGTAGATGGGAGCTCATGTCTTTTATCACACATTATAAATCGAGCGCAAAGTCCAGTAATAGTATTTTCAAAGTAGTGGGATAAGTCTATGCTTCTACCAAGTTCTTTAGCCACATCTACGAATTCTATCTGATCTGATTTTCCCAGCTTAAATTTTTTACCAATTAGATCGAAGATTCTATCAGGTTGGACAATCACATAACTAAAATGTTCACCTGAATTTGGAATCTTATTTTTGTATTCTTTTCTCATCCGTTTTATAAAATTTTGAACACGTATATTATTTTTATTAGGTTTCCATATGGCAGATTCTATAAATTGATCGAAATTCCATTGTCTAGGATTAGTTATAGCCTCTTTAAGGACGTCTTCAACAATTTCATGGAGAGTTTGATTATTGTAAATATCCATTGCCTCCCACATAATCCGATCTCCTATGGTTCTAAAAAGTTGGGATTTACCTTACTTCATCATATCAATACCTTTAATGAAAAGTTCTTTTGGTTTGAAGTTTGGAACTTTTTTATATAGTATTCCAAAATATTTCTTTTTACCAGTAAATACTACTGGAAATAAAACTTCTTCGTAAGCCATTTTAAGATAGGTCAATCTATTCTTTATTCTAAGATATGTATTCACATCGTTACATAATTTCTTCATTACTTTCATAGTAATTTTAACTATTTCAGTCCAATACTCCAACTTTGAAATTGTTCGTTTACCATTATTATAAGCAAGTTCATATTCTTTATAACATTCAACAGGACAAGTGAGATACAAAGAATCAGTGTCCCCGTATTTGATTCCAAAACCTTTCTTCTTAGTTACATACTCAGCAACAAGTTTAATGTTATATTGTCCTGCTAATGTGACACCACTAGCTAATTGTAGAAAGAAGAATGGGGATAGACTATTACCTGCTTCTCCATAGAAAGTATTCATATATATTTTTACTGCTTTTTGTTTCGAATCTAAGCAAGTATGTTCAAAGCAGATAGAATCGTATTCTATTTTAAAATTTTCATAGATTTCATTAATAAGAGGAATCAAGATTTCATTCATATTGGCACGTTTTTCTTTATCTTTAGCATTTCTTAGAATATGATCAATAGCATTAGCTACTGATAAATTCTTCTCTTTTATTTTACTAATTGCTAATTCCATATACTCTTTTTTGTTGCTAAATATTTCCAATTAAGTCTTCATTTTATTTCATTTATTAAGGAGATCTTTTAAAACTGATGGATATAACCCCATTTTATTATTTTTATTTTTATGTCTTATAGACCAAGTATGTAAAATTCAGCTATTAAAAGGAAACTTGATTTTATTGAGGATTTCTTCAGCCTTTTCTAATACACCTGCTTCTTCTGCTAGTAGAGTCATTGTTTCTAGTGAGAGATTATAATTCATAATAATACTTGAATATAATGATGCAAAATCTAAACCTGTAACAGGACGTTTGTTTTCTAGACCCTTATCTGGGGGGAATACATAGGCATCAGGAAATGTTCCTTTTTTTGTCCGTTCGGAAGAAATCAAAGTAATTAATATATCTCTTTTCCATGCTTCAGCACCTAATAGATTACATACCTTCATACCCCCTGTATAGTAATGTGAATTGAATAAAGAAACATATACAATTGAGGCTACTTCTCTGTAATCATTTATTACATTTCTCTTAACCATAAGTTCTTAACAACTTAAGGCATCTTTAATATAATATTTAGCAATTTTACATATATTTTCAGTGTTCTCGAGTGAGATATTCTCCTTGCTTCATGTGTAATATTCCCTCATAACTTTTATGAGTAAATCTATTTTACTATCAAGACTATACATTTCTAAGAAATAGTTGAGCAATTTTTTCTCAGATTTTGGATAAAGTTTTTTAAAGCATACTACAATATCAATTGGAACGCATCCTGGAATTTTAAGGAAAGTAGATATGAAACCTTCTTCTAAAGTAATCTTAATTTCAACTCCTTTCCGATTCTTTATCTTTTTGCTATCCTTGTTTTCTTTTTTAGAAGATCCCCATGATTGCTTTTTATAAAAGAAATTTTTATAGAAAGGCTTACCTACCTCCCTACAATAATTTCAACAAAGAATGCTATTGATTGTAGCCTTTTTACATGGATTTGCTAACATTTTTGTTAACATCCAATCCAAAATTTTCCATTGAGTAGCTCTTTCCACTACAAATGGCTAGTCATATTTAGAACTATTAAAAGTGAGTTCAATATCAGGAGCTAAAGCCCGCCAATATAAAGCAAATACTTTTAATAGATTTTTCTCATTTCCACATACAATTGTAATCCAATTTGGGTCCTATATACTTTCAACATTAACAAGGCAGATTTGTTTCAATAGCTTTGGATCATCTTTCCAATGAACAGTAATACAAAACATAAATATGTTATCTTCTTTATATCTCACATAGGGCATGTGTTTTAACCCACATGTTGAATGTATTTCAATGTCCAAAGCAAGGACTAATGCTCGGTTTTGAGTAATAAGCTGAGAAGAGTAGGTCCTATATAATACTGCGGGATCCTCAACATGGCGAAAATTATTAACAGATAAATAAAAAGCATGTTCACAAAGAAGTGAACGGGCACTATAAGGCATTCTATGGCTATTATATGAGTTGGAGACTCTATGCTTTACATATTTGTAATTAGTTAATAAAATCTATCTAAAGAGTGAAATCTTATATTCTCTAGCAACTTTTCAGTAGTATATACTCAAATTATCTGAGGCAGTTTCCAGCTTAGATTTATCTATATCGGATGATGTAATTTCTGAATTATATTTTAGGATAATATTAAGAGCGATTGATCTTTGTTTACTAGTAGTTGTAATAATATGAATATAGAGTTTTTTTTCTTTGTAATAATTGCGAATAGGAAATGCCTTTATATGTTCTGTCTAGAGTTCTGTCATATCTACAGTTCTCCCTTCGCTATCTTTTCCATTGGCAATAATATTTTTTATTTCAGTTTTGAATATATCAATATTTTGGTTATCGGGAACATGAATATCAAAGAAAACTTTTATACCAGAAAATGTAACTACAGCTTTTTAGTCATTAACAAGATAACCGTAAAGTCGTAAAACATAGTATGAGTATTATTTATATACTCATTATATTCCTCTATATCACAAGGCATAAATAGGATATCTTTCCCAATAATTAAATCCTAATTAATAGTCACTGTTGATCCATAGTCATCATTTTCAGCAATTATCACATTACGACTCGGATGGGTTGGTAAATATTCTTCTTCATTGTAGTAAAATATCTGGCTTTCTTTCTTACTTTCCGAAATCTTTGATTGAGGAAAAGCTTTAAACTCC